CTTTTTCTTATGTTGAGTGGGAAAAGAGACAGCATTTGGTGTCCTTTCTAACTCTTGTTTAAGTGGAGCTTGAGCTTGGCGTATCTTTTGGTTGTTACTTGTGACTTCATTTTTGGGATTTTGAGTTTGGGTTGAGCATCTGTTGGGTGTGACTGACATTTGGCTGAGAAGTCTATGTTATGAGTTGCCAGCTATTGGGTTTAGAATTTCCCTGCATTTTGGTTGCAGTATAGTTTATCGTTTTAAAGTGTACTTGGGGTGATGAGTGAGTCTGAGACTCGAGGAGGAATTTCGTTAGAGAACAAAGGATCTTGGAGCAGGAATTAAGTTCTATTGATCAGATTATTGAGTTGCCAAGATGCTTTCATCTAGGGTGTAGATATTCAATTTTTTTTGTTTCATATTTTAGGAATTTGCAATAAATGTCATCATGCTTGTGCCTGATTTATTATATCATTGATTCTTCGAAATACCAAATAGTTACGGGTTGAATAAAATTGCCGCAGTAACCTGAAAGGTGAAGCGAAAACATTTTGAGTTGCGATCTTCCGAAGTTTGGTGGTGGGGTTAAAACCATGCATTTGAGTGAAACCAAGCGGTTCAGAAAATAATGCTTGGCATAGCACTTTTATACATTTGGAAGTTAACTTAGAAAATTTGGACTTGTTTTAACCATTCTTTTCTTTCTTTCAAACTGATTTATTTAATGTGTATGTAGTTCTGTATACGAGGAAGGAAAGTTTTGCGAGACCTTCCACTTGAATGCTGCTGGGTGGAGATGCTGTGAATCTTGTGGAAAGGTAATGTAGGCTTACTCTTACATAAGTAATTCCATGTGCTTGGTGTTAATCTTTCTTTTTCAATATAACGAACTTGATCGAGTATATAATTCTTTCTGCAGCAAATACATTGTGGATGTATAGTTTCATTCCATATGTTCGTACTATTAGATGCGGGAGGAATTCAATGTTTGACATGTGCGAAAAAGAGTTACATATTGGTAAGATGGTACCCTTTTTCTTATTCATACCTCATGTACCTTGAGGTGCTCTCACATCTTCCCTTTTGCTTTATTTTTTATGTTCCAAAATGTCTTGGAATAGATGGTGAACTACTCAAAGATTGTCACATGTAAAATTTACCTATAGTTTACAGTTCTCTGCTAGATTGTTTTGGAAGGTGCACTTATGCTGGAACAGGAATGTTTCTTAAACTTTCAAAACCCTTTTGCTCTTCTAGTTCTGTTTTTACACATCCTTACTGTATGGATATGGAGTTGGTTCATTGTCTTGGAATCATTAGATGGCTTTGGTGTAGGGTCTGGCGAACTCGAATGTGATTTGACAGTCAGGCTTTGTCAATGTAGCTTGTTTATGAAGTCCGCCCGAATGTTACTTGAATATTCATACATTTTGTTTCATCTCTTAATTACCTGTGACCATCAATTCTTTTCAAATGTGTTGGAATATAACTTATGAGTTGTCCCACATTGACAAAATAGGGAAGATGTTCCTACTTTATTAGCCTAGTGACTATTTCTCCCATCACCTATTTGTTTTGGGATGGAACCGCGCTCAGGTAGCAACTAGGCTTGTCCTCCAAATTCACCCCTATGGAACCACACTCCTTCCCCCAAATATGTAAATCTGACGAAATATATTCATGAGAAGTTGAAGTTTGTATGTCTCTGTACCCAGAGAGTAGTTGTATTTTTACCATATCTAACTGTATGCTGTCGAGCCCATTCAGTGTTGTACTCTTGCATAAGCAGTCAGATTCTTTACCTTTTATTTCAGACCCCAAATCCGGCGTGGCCGCCACCTTCGCACTTTCTTCCTTCAGTTCCCGAAAGAATGAAAGATCTTTCTTTGAAAACTTGGAACCCAATAGCAGGCTCAGGTCCAGTACCATGGCACCACTCTCCCAGTTTGTCCAGCAGTTCTCATATCCAGTCTAACGTACAACTGGGGAGGTCCTATGAAATAAATGTATCAGGTGGCACAAATATGTTTCCTGTTTGTGACAGGTTATCAGCAGCTTCACCTCAGATAAACCAAGAGTACTCCTATGAAAAATTTGTTAATGGAAAGTTGAGACCTGGTCCTTCTCAAACATTTTGGAGTGAAAGTACAGGTAAATATTGTATTTTCTGAGTCTGAAAGAAAAACAGGGATTATCATTACTTGCTAAATTATAGCTTTTTCCTCAGTAAATTTTATTTCTCTGCAGGACTCAATATGAAGGAGCAACCTTATCCCCCTGTAAATGATGTCAAACCAGTTTTTCCAAAGATGGACTTATCTTCGACTCTGAATATGGCCATGGCTTCTTCTTCAAAGATTGAAGCAGATGATGTCCAGCTTACTTCTATTCTTTCAGAACCCCGGGCCATTTCAACTCCCATGGGCAAACAGCTCTGCAATCACACTCCAATGGGTTCATGTTGTGAACCTCAAATATCTAATGGACAGGCCCAAGGAGACCGAAATCAGTTGCATGTTCGGAACCGTCCTCAATTAACTGATACTGAGCTTCGAAAAATTTCAAGGCAGTATCCTATGGTAGCAGGATTAATGATTTCATTTGTTTGCTAATGATTATGATAAAATGTTTCTTGGAACTTCTCTTTTCTCTGTGCTCCCAGTTTATAGCGTAAGGGGTTGTTAGACTGGCATGAGTTATCCAGTTTGAACTTGCATCATGATTTGGGCTTTAGTGCCAATGAACTTAAATCCTTGGGCATTTCTGCAATTTGTACATAGATTTTCACCTTAGCATCTTCTTAGGTCGAATTCAGTTGTTATTCCGTTGTTCGAGAAAATGTTAAGTGCTAGCGATGCTGGGCGGATTGGGCGCTTGATCCTGCCAAAAAGGTGTGCAGAGGTGAGAATTTAACTTGTACCTTATGCCATTTCACCCACTTATACCTCTCAAACATTTTGTTTCGAGATGCTCTACATCATGCTGAGTCGCTGAGAAATATGAATTCCTATTATATAGATCCTGTAACCACACTGGCCCGTATGGCTGCATCTTGCAGGGGCCCATTTATTTCAAAGCAGCCTAGAATTTATAATTGGAAAGTCGTTTCTGATAATGTGATTGTGTTAACACTTGTATGGTTTGTGAGATTGCTAAACCTAGAGTCGCCTTGTTATCCGAGTCAACTTTAAAGTCTTGTTGTTAGCTGTGAATGTGCTATAACTAATTGTGAGAATTTTATCTGAGTGGATACTTTGTTGTCCTTTTCAGTTCTAGTCTCTCATGGTAACTTGATTTTGCATTATGGTTTATAACTGGTTATGGTTCGAGGTTCCACTTCAGGCCGGTATTACTAGGAGAAAAGTTGAACCTCCAATTAGAATAGCATTCATGAGTCATGTTCATTTATTTAGTCTCATGATAGGCTACAGAACCTTGGAGTTAGATTCAGATTGGCTTTTCCTCCATTTGGGGTTTATTAGTTTTCCTGAATATTGACTCTTCTTGATTTATGCTCGCATGAAAAAGAAAACTCAAAAAGATGTTCGTATTTTGTGTGTATATCCTGGCTATTCGCATTTTAGTTTGGAAAGGGTTATAAATTTGCTTAGGGACAAGAAGTAGGGAAATATGATATTCATTATTGCTTGATAGATTTTATGGAATTTACACATCTGCTCTGATCGAACCTCTTGTATATATTCCTTGTAACTAAGTTTTTATTGATGCTGGGGCAGGCGTTTTTTCCGTGCATATCACAGGCAGAAGGAACTCCTCTAAAAATACAAGATATGAACGGAAAGGAATGGGTATTACAATTTCGTTTCTGGTCCAATAATCACAGCAGAATGTATGTTCTGGAAGGAATTACGCCTTGCATACAGTCTATGCAACTGAGTGCTGGTGATGTAGGTAATCCTTCAGTACCACTAAATGCATTGCTTATGATTCCACATATATCATTCGCTAGCTGTACTTAGTGGCCTTGAAGTACCTCTCTCCTGCTTCACTACCATCATGCTCACAAGTGTATCTCCCGGTTGGCACCGTTGTTGCAATTGATGTGTCTATTAAGTTTTATTCCTCTTCTTATCATTTTTGCTATTCAAGTATTCTATGTTTATATTTACTGGAGTGTTTGGACACATTGTCTTCAAAGTGAATTCATTTCCTTTTTCTTCCTGGCTTTTTATTTTTGAATTATAAAGTGATCTGAGGATATTCCTGTCAGTGACATTTAGTTGGCTGGAGCCTGACGGGAAGTTGGTCATAGGTGGCAGAAAAGTTTCAGCTATTCAGTCTTCAGATCAGGTTTGTCCACAATATTGCATAGTATTTGTGTCTTTATTTAAAAATGGAAAGTCATTGGAAGGGATTGCTCTGAATCTAGTATGAATATTCTTTATGTTTTTGGTAGATCGATGGAAGAGTTTCTGTACTTCCATGCCGATTATTTTTATATTCTTATAAAGGCACAAGAAAACCATGGGGTTTGCTGGTCTAGCTGATATTAGTATGTGATATCTTCATCCATAAATTATTTAACCTGCACCCATTTTGGTTTCTAGCATGTCAAAAATAGTTGCCACTTTATGATTCCACCACCAAACAAATGTGCCGATACATTTCAGTCTTATGATTTCAGGAAGTTTATTGGTCATGGCGAGCCCTTTTAAAGGACATAGGAGTATACGCATTTTCAGGATATAACTTGGAAGTTTAATTGCTCCCATTTCGGTTTATAGCATGTCTAACATAATTGCCACTCATGATTTCCGTCACCGAACAAATGTGCCAATTCATTAATCTATATTTTAAGGAAATTAGTGATGAATTGATGGTGAGTCCTTTTAAAGGAAGAGGAGTATATACCTTCTTAGGATATTAGTTGGAAGCTTATGTTAGACTTATGTGTAATTGATGGATTAGTAGGCAAGTCATATGCACATCCTTTCTGGGGGCCACTTAGTATATTTATATGAAAAGTGTATATGGTGATTCGTCTTCATCTGTTTTTTTAAGAGAGGAATCATTTGATCACTGTTTTTGAAATGCATTCTTGTTTTCTTACCCAGCTATCTTCATGCATATGATACCATTAAATCAGTAATTATATCATAGTTAAATGTTACTATCTTATTAAAAAAAAAAAATGTCACTATCTTATACCTGTCACACATGAAGACAGTTTAGGGCGTGCTTGTTTATGAAATATTTCATTCAAAATGAGTTATTTTAGTTAACTAGAGTTAATTTTGAAAAAGGTAGTATGGTTAATTGTTAGTGGGGATTTTAATAATATATTAAAATAATATTTAAAATAAAATGACTATTAATGATTTGATGTAAAAGTAGGATATAAATGATTGGAAATGATAGGTAGTTAAAATTATGTGAGTGGATGAATAGTGAATTAAAGTTGATGTGATATGTAAGAATAATTGGTTTATAATATTTAATTATATAAATAATATAAATGATAGTGGGTTGAGTTAAAGTTGAGTTAGATTTTGAGTGAAATGAATTATTTCATAAACAAGCATGCCCTTATACTTCCATGTATATTAGGTTTGAACCTGAGTTCAATTTCAACTCTGAAACACTCTTCGCAATAATGTAGTTGTGTTCGCAGGTAGATGGAGTCACTATTGTTGGTGCGGATGCTTCAAATTCCCGTGAGGATAGTGCTGGGAATAAGTTTGGAGATGCTATTTCCATAAACAGCCACCTTGAAGGTAAATCTTCGGGATATCATTAGGGCTGATAAGATAGAATGCCACGGTATATAGGAATTGATAAATCTTGATTTCATTGCAGAGAAAATTGTTGAGGATAAACCCCTCATTCCTAGTAAGAGGAAGAATAGCAGCTTCCGTGCTAAAAGTAAGCGCTGTAAGATTGAAACACTGGATTTGATAGAACTGAAGCTCACTTGGAAAGAAGCTCAAGGGTTAATGCGCCCTCCTGCAAATATTGTTCCCTCAGTTGTTGTTGTGGAAGGGTGTGAGTTCGAAGAATTCGAGGTAATTGAGTTTTTTATGTGGATTAGGTTTCGTATGTTATTGTTGCTATTGCTTCTAGTGAATCTTTCCCCGTTAATCTGCAATTCAAAACAGTTTTGAGATTGAAATCCAATTCTTTGTATTACAGGTGCATTTGACTTTAACCACAGTTGAGAGAATATTTTGATTGATGATTTGATTTCCCACTGTCTCTTTTCATGCATATGCATCTGATTTATTTATTAACACGTGCTTCTCAATGCTTGAGCATCATTATGCTTGATAATGTAGAACGACGAAGTTCCTTATTCTTCGGTAATCCCCTTCTATTTGATGATTATTTTCAGGAAGCTGGTCCTGTTATTGGGAGGCCTACTATTCCAGGGGAAGATCATGCTGGGTATGTTGCTTTGTTTTTGTGGCGACACTTTCTTTGAGGTTGGATTTAAGGGACTTTTGCTGGGGAGGAATACTGACATTGAGTTATTTTATTTCAAAGTTTAAAAACTCAGTGGGTTCAGTGTGAAGACTGCTTTAAGTGGCGTAAAGTGCCCGCAGATGCTTTTCTTCCTTCAAAATGGATCTGTGCAGATAATGTGTGGGACCCTGACAGGTATGCGTGTATATACACTTTTTTTTTTCCTTTTCTTTTCATTCGTTCTATTCGTGCAGATTATTGTGGTTTTTTTCCCCCCAAAAATGTAGATAATGTTTGCAATCTTAATTCTGGACAAATCCTTATTTTTTCTTTGCAATTTGTGATAATGTTTAACCTTATTTTTATTTTCCTACTCTTCTTCTTGTTCTGGGAACCATAGTCGATCACTCTATCTGCTGCGCAATTCTTGGGCTAATTTGTTGTGCTCTTGAAGTATTTTATGAGAGTTAATTTTGTAACAAACATATGCTATAAGCTGAAAATGTAGTGTACCTATATAAAATCTGACAAAGCCAACCTCTTTCTGTTGGGGATTTTGTCTTTGTGGATTGTGGTGATATTCAGTTTTATCAGCAATTCATTTTAAGTTGCTGATTGTTTTAGTTCTTCCACGAGAAGTTTCTGAATTTTGAAACTATGAGATATGTTTGTCTTTAGATCCAGAGCAGAGTTCTGAACGTTCATTATCATGCGCAATAATTCAACCCTTGGATTACACAAGCTATCGTTATACTTTGAACACTTGAGAGGCTAATTTTTCCATTCCTGTCTGCACTAGATCACATTGTTCTTCTGCTCAGGAGTTGACAAATGAACTACTCGAGCATATGCTATCCACAGCAAACAAAGGTTTTTCAGTATTATTAATTATTGCCATCTGATTATATAAACTACTCAAATTTAGCCATGTTACATAAATTCAATTATCTCGTAAACTTACCAAGAAAAAAAAACCTCCCACATTTGTTTCTGTTTCTTTATTTTTCCCGAATAACTTATTCCGATTGTTATGCAGATTCTTCTGGAAAAGATGAAATCATCACCGAAAGCGGCACAAATCTGCCGGCTTCAGAGCAAGGACTTCATGCACTGGCTAATGTAGCCATAAACGAGGAAAATACCACAAAACACCCACGTCACAAACCCGGGTGCTTGTGCATCGTTTGCCTTCAACCTCCGAGTGGAAAACGCTCCAAACACGCCCAATCCTGTGAGTGCATTATCTGTGGCTACTTGAAGCGCCGTTTTAAAACACTAATGGAGAAACGTGAGAGAAAACAACAACTGGAGAAAGAAGAAGCCGAAACATCAAACTTACTTGAAAAGGTACCTCACAATCTTGATCCCAATATCCTAAATCATGGTGAGGTGAGCAAAAGGGGTAATTATGGCGTTGGGAAGTGTGGTACAAAACAACTGGAGAAAGAAGATGAAATATCAATCCAAAACTTATTTGAAAAAGAAGATGACAATCTTGATTACCCTTTCCCAAATCATGGTGAGATGGGCAATGGGGGTAATTTTGATGAACCCAGTGTTGGCAAAGGTCAAATAGACCTTAATATACAGCCGGACAAAGAGGAGGAATTATCGCCTGGTATGGGCTCGGGTGGACCCATGAAATGCCCTCTGTCTGGAAGCAAACGCAGATTCATACTCTTTCAGTAAGGTACTCTGTTATAGAGTCCTAGCTTGGAAGATGGCAGATTCGAAATTTTGTTTAGCTATCATCTGCTTTGCCTTTGGTACATCTGTAAAAGCTGTATATATATTAGGTGAAGGTAGGAATTTCATGGCGGCGCAAAACTAGTTGAACCAATTCTTTTTCTGCACGGTAATTGGTCGAATGCATCATGTTTTGGGGTTTGAAGAACTGCGTAAGATATTGCCTGGTATGTAATTTTACTCTGTTTCAACTGAGCTTATTTTACTTTGGTAATATAAAGAAGCTATGATTCTTTGCTTGGTTTGGCTAGTGATGCTGGCTACCCATGTGTACTTTGAGAAATGACTTGGAATTAGGAGTTAAGTGTTTATTCACCCATATATAATCGAACCGAACGAATGGAGGTTGGGCATTTCGAGCTCGTGTTCATTCATGTTCGAATACAGTTCATGTTCGTTCGTTTATTTTTCGAACGAAAATTCGTGTTCGAGCTCGTTCTTTAAAGTTTGAGTTTGTTCGTGTATGCAAAAGTTAGGAAACAAACTTTTTAAAATTGTTTGATCAGTTCGAAAATTTTGAATTAGTTCAAGCTCGAAAAAAAGAATATTTATGGTTTGGATTTTTTATTAAAAATATCGTACAAGTATATAAAACTAAAATGAAATTATATTACATTAATATTCCCAAACGTTATTGAATGTTCGGGAATGAGCTCATGTTTGTTCGATTATTAAACGAGCATAATTTTTTGTTCGAACTTAGCTTAGATTAGCAAAATGGGAATGCTCGGTTCGTTACAACCCTACATATATGAAATATATGTTGATATATGTATTGAGTAAATGGTAGCAATTTCAGTAATAGTATAGAAAGTCAATATCTTTTGCTATTTTATTTGTATAATATATAAGCACTAAAAAGATTTGGAACCTGGCTTTTTTGGTCTGCAGGGATAACGAATCCCTTGAATCTTTGAAATGGTTAGTCAATTGTCAATTGTATGTATAAAATCAGCATGTAGGTTTAATGCTTAGTCAATTATATTATTTTTACAGGTACGCATATTTTTATATTGAAATGTCATAGTTTCAAACACAACATAAACTGCATTTTTATTCATAAGTATGACATGTTGATCAGGTGGTTAGACTGACTGTACAGTTAGGTTAACTCATATAAATTTATATTTTATTATAATTATTATTATTATTTATTTTATTTCCCATATCCCCAATTCTCAATTGAGCCTGCTGAGAATTTTTCATCTTTCAATTAATCCACAATGTATAATTTCTACTGCATAATTATCAACTGTCCTCACTTGCCATATATCAGTGAATCAAGCTCCATCAATAGTTTGCCTTCCCTCAGAAAAACAAAAATTCTTGTCAAGTCATTCAAATGAATTTCAATCCACTAATTAAAAATAAAAAATAAATCATCTCCACCATGGACAATTACTTGGTTTGGTATAAGACTAACTTGCAATGTCCCCTCCGTTTGTGGTAAATTTTCCCCTTCTCTGTTTCCATTTTATCACACAAAGGGACGATGATGAATTGATGACGATGATACATCCTCCCAAAACCCTTTATTCTTGACAGGGTAAAAATCAAGTCACAAGACAAGAAAACTAGAATTTTCTTGTCCCATCAAAATTTACCCCCACAACACAAAAAAAGGAAAATAAAAACACAATTAAATAAAAAAATCCTATGGACCGTGGCGCGTTTGACGGCTCGTTCAAGATTTACGTCGAAGATCCCCGAAAACCGGCCTCCGACATCGAGACGGGCCGCATGGGGCCCGGCCCGTACAGTATGGAGATGTTCGCCAAGGAAGTGGACAATGTGAAAGAGGACATGAAGAGCATGGATAAGTTGTACGGTCAGGTGCATGAGTCGAACGAGGACATAAAAGTCGCGCAAAATGCGGCCGCCATGCAGGAGCTTAGAGACGAGGTCAACACCGACCTTGACCACGTCATCAAGCTAGCCAAGCAGATTAACAAAAAGTATGATGGGCTTGTCCGGGCCAATGCGGCCCAACGGAGGGTCGCAGGAAGCGGGCCGGGCTCGTCGGACGATAATGCTCGGGCCGCGATGATTTCGGAGCTCGGTGACAATATCAAGCAAATGATGCGAAAGTTCCAAGGGCTTAGGGTACAGATGGAGACCGACCACCGGCAACTCATCGAGAGCAGGTAAAAAAAATAAAAGATGCACCTGATCGAGCAAATCAATAGCTCGACTCGTTTATCAAGCTATTTAAATATTTATTCGTCTCGTCATTGACACAACTCAGCTCGAATAACAGTCCTAGCAAACAATATCAATAATATATAACAAGCTAATCAAGCGACTCGCTCGAGTTAACGAGTCGAGATCAAGCTATCAAAATATTCGTTTATATATACCCGAACACCACCGAGCGAACTCAGCTCGAATAACAATCCTAATTAACAATAGGACCAAAAGCTACTTGTATAATTTTTTTCGTATAACATTTCATGACAATATGATGTGTCATAATGTGGACAGTTGATATGCAAATAAATGTATGATTAAGATTTGATCTAATGAAAATTTTAGTTAATGTTGTCAACTGATGTTGCCAATTACTATAAATTGTACATATAACATTGCCTCTTAATTTGATTTTCGAAAAAATTAGGTATTTCGCCATCACACGAGAGAAGGCGACTGCAGAGGCCATCGACAACTTGATAGCGAACGAGGTGCCCGAGAGCCCGCTCCACCACGCCATGCAGGACCACGGGCGTGGGCCCGTCATGGATGCCGTGGCCGAGATCCAAGAGCGTCGTGGGGCCATGATGGAGGCCCGACGAACCCTAATGTCCCTCCACCAAATCCTCCTCGGCATAGCCACCCCGGTGGCCGCAGTGGCCGCCGAGGGGCAGGCCAAGGCCCCCGGGCCCCCGAGCCCGGTCGAGCCCCCCGCCTACTCGCCGGGGGTGGGCCCACCAGGAGGCCCGGTAAAGGCAGGAGGGCCCGCGGGCTTGAACGACTACGAGAGGGAGACTCGGAACCAGGCGTACATAGCCATAGCGGTGGCGCTCGTCATCATTATCTCCGTAATCGTGTCTCTCCTCAAGGTCGAGAACCAGCTCGAGAACGATGGGACTAGCTAAATTCGAAAAATCGGCTCTATAAATTATATATATATATATATTTATAATTATATATATCTATAATGTAATTTGTTGAGTTGTGTTTGAGCAAGATCAAAAGGAATGTACATCAAAATTTGAATGAATTGAAGGAGGGAAAAAAATTAATTATTATTTTTTCCTTAATACAATGGAGCTAGATCTTCGTGACATTTATATGTTATGTGTTTGATTCCTGATAAATTTATCTCATTTTGGGAATTTGATTCTTAAATTTTTTATGCACTTTTTAATCTTAGAACTTGATATCTGAAGTTTCAATAATATTATAAATTATAATACATTTGACTCTATTAGATCATCTATAATTATAAATTATAATACATTATTTGACTCTATTAGATCATCTATAATTATAAATTATAATACATCTATAATTATAAATTATAATACATTATTTGACTCTATTAGATCATCTATAATTATAAATTATAATACATTATTTGACTCTATTAGATCATCTATAACAAATGATTGGGTAGCGTTGATATGGATAAAGAGATGAACTCATATGTTGATAAGACAAGATTGACTCGTGGAATAATAATAATAATAATAATAATAATAATAATAATAATAATAATAATAATAATAAT